CAGCCGCAACCCACTGAAAACAACAGTGAAGCAAAGTTTCCCCCCGTCCGTGTGGAACACGAATCAAGGCAGAACAAGTCCTTCTGTCATTTTCTTTATGGTCTGTCAGATGTGAGACAGGCATTAATAAATACAGTGCAGTGCAGTCAGGGGAATTTTTTGTTTCCAGTGATCCTCAGAGAGAAAAGGAGATTGAATGGGAGTACTGGTGCAACAAGCACCTGGAATCTTGCAAAATGACTAGGGCCTCAACTAATTTATTTCTTCTGTCAGTAACAGTCATTTATTCTAAAAATGTCAGGTCATGGTGAAAACGCCTGCTATCACTTCCGAGAGCTCACGTTGATGTCTTCAGTGTAAACGTCTAAAACCCAAAGGTGTATGCTGAGGATAGAGCACCTGATGTGGTCTTCAGGATGCAGACGAGCATGTTGAGCACCAGGGCCGAGTGGTGTTCTGTCTCTGGACGTAGAGAGCCCGGAGCCCTCCTGCTCCATACCTAAACACATCAGCCTTTTTGATGTGAAACCACTGAGTTTGGTCAAATTCAAGAACAACCAGCGTCATCATAACGCCCGACTGACACCTGACAAAGCTCCGGTGCAGCTCAGGGTCAGAGGGTTACTAGTGGTTACAGTAGACTTTGGTTGTTTCAACAGGCTTTGGATTATTTTGGCTGATTTTATTTGGAAAAACCCCTCAAATCTCAATTTAACAGATACCCCTCCAATATTATTAGCTCAAAAATGTTCCCAGTGTTGTTTGATGTTCCCTTTGGAGGCTCACAGTAGTCGAGTTCTTCTGGCTCCTGTACTGTTAAGTTGAGTTGACCACCTTCTTACCGTAGCTGTCTCTCTGTGTGCGTGTGTGTGTCAGGATGTGGAGGGTCGTCCTCTGGAGGTGAAAGTGAAGAGTAAAGGCGATGGGCTGTACTCCTGCTCCTACACGCCCACCTCCCCTCTCAAACACACCGTGGCCGTCGCCTGGGGAGGAGTCGGCATCCCCAACAGCCCCTTCAGGGTAAGCAGCCAATCACAGCAGCCTGTGTCAGCAGCAAGTGATATTCTGGCCAAATCTCAGGACCAGGTCAGGGTAGAAAGTGCTAACGTTGTCCAGTCAAAACCTTTACTGACGGTAGAAAACAACAGATTTGTACAGTTGCAGCAGGCGGTGCAGAACACAGGCAGGAAAAAGAAGAAGCCCCTGATTATCATCACATACACTGAAGAGAGGAGAGGGTACCGCTTTTAGCTTAGCTGCACAGAGAGAAATTCCAGAAACAGATTCATTTTTAAAAAAGAAAACCAAACTGTACATGACATCTGTGCTTTTGACATGCTAAATAATGTAGTGAAAGAAAAGAAGACAAAAAAAGAGTGATTTTAATAAAGATTTAATGAAATACAGGAAAGGGAACAGCAGAATCTAACATGGTATAGAGAAGTAGGTCATGATTCTTGGATATACATTGGAGGGTGTGTGTATTTATTCAAAAGAAAACACTTTAAAATGCAACATGTCCAGATGAAAGCCTTAAAACACCATGATATAGTGTAGTGTTGACTGAGACTAAATCCACTTATTAATCTCTCTCTTGAAAAGAAAGTGATTAAGCTTATATTTCAAAATGTTGAACTATTCAAACTGTTAGCTCGCTCACTAACTAACCAGCAAGCTGATTTACCATAACACTGCCAATAGCAACAGGCTGACTCACCACTTCTACCAGATCTACTGTACCTCGCTTGTTAATCAGATGTGTGGTCAACATTCACTTGGCGGCTACTGTGGTTAACTAGTTAAAAAGCAGGCTGAGGCTAAATCCCAGTTCCCTTTAACTGCATCCACATTTCCTGAGTGTTTTCCTCACATCTTAGTCCTGCCCATGTAAGATGCAAGGAAAAGATGCAGGAGAGAAGAATCGCAGAAACACGTTTAAGACACACGAGACGTTATTCCGTCTCATCCTTCATCTGAAGCATCCAATCACCAACTGATTTGTGATAAAGAGGCATGTCAGTTCTCACTCATGGCTCCTACAGCAGCCTCCCTAGTCCTCAGAACAGGGTTAAGGGCTTTGGGACATCTTTCAAGATGGCGGGACAGAATGGCTTCTGGGTCATATGAGGCAGCAAGGAGCGATTGTTTAAGGGAACTGGGATTTACCCCAAGTCTGCAGTGTGCTGAGACGTATACACAAATGTGTCATGTGACCTGACACCATTAGCTTTTCTTATGCAAATATGACTCGTATTTTGTCGGTATTTAATTTAAAATCATTTGATGATGATGATGATAAACTTGTTAATAACATACGAACACAATAGAAATACTGACTGAAAAAGTGTGACTGCCTTTCACCAATGTCCACAGTATGATCAAAAATCCAAATGCAGCTAATGTCTAATTAAACCTTTTGTATTTTGATTCATTTTTGCATTTCATATGTTTATTTACCACACTCACCTCACTCTGTGCACTGTAACAACCTTTTGTCTTGTTTTATTTTTAACCAAAGTTGTTTTTACTCACTGAAGATGGTTTAACCACTAAATGCACTAACTGGTCTCTTCTGCACTGCCACCACTGTCCATGCACTGTAACTAACTTTGGGTTTTGTATTTTCCTTTTTGTTGAACGTCAATAACCTTTCAGATCTCTTTTGTGTGATGCAAGTGTTGTTCCTGTCAAATGAAAACCTTTTTACGTTATATGTGTGAAGATTTTCCACTATTTCATTGAACAAACTCAGGTCAAAACTTTCTGAACTAAAGGGCGTAAACACATGAAATGTGCACTAACCAGTCACCTTTGCACTGTAACCACCATTCGTTCATTCTGTGTCTTTAAATCACAATGTGAAAGACTTGTTTGAAGTTACTGCTGTTTGTCTATCAGCTGTCTTTCCTTCTTCTGGTTCTAAGGTGCTTTGGAGTTTTGCCTACAGGGCAAATGAGCGAGAAACTGCCATTGACATTGCTTTCATTGTTTTATAAGACAACAGAGGTACAAAGTTCAAAAGACGAAGTGAGAGAGAGTGAGGAGAAGCTGACACAAAGTTTTTAGAGAATTTGTTCTGTGAAAATTGGTTTTTGCATTCGTAAGACTAGCGGATAAGATGTGCTATCAGACTGGGGGGTTTAGATCTGGACACCACTTCATTGTATTTGTACAAGGCTTTTCTTAGTATTCACAGTATAAAAAAACAACTGCAACATAACAAAGTGGTTCTTCTGGCTCACAAGTATTTGTACTGGTGTTCAAATCGTTTCAGCTGGTCTAGAGAAGTTTGTACTTGTCTGAAAAGTAATACTCCAGATTTAGAGCTGATGTCACTGGTGAGTCAGCAGGCCTGTCGTGAGCTGCAGCAGCGTGCAGGCTGCCTGCTGCTGACTGCACCCTTCACCAGCGTTACTATTGATACAGGCAGTAGATATTGTAGATAGAAGGTAAACAGTCACGCCCAGTTCACAGCGCTACTGGTGACATACAGCAGCAACTCCTTTTCTTTAAAAATCATCCACATTTGTGATGTAAAACAACACGTAACCACAGTTTTTGTGTTGCTGTTGTATTAAAACAGAATATTTACTTTTGCTGTCAAGACTTAAATTAATGCAAATGCCCTGTTTGACAGTGAAAGATTGTAAAGTTAATCAGATTGGGTTGTAAAAAAACAAAAAAAACAAACTCCCTACTACACATTGTTGTTCTTTGCAGCCAAACAGGCTCGGCCACACTTGGCCTTTATTAGAATGAAATTTCAGCCCAAAAACAGTTGGTTGCAGTGGGTTTGTCACAGTTACTGGACTGTGAGCCCAGACACATTTTCCCAGACTCTACACTGCAAAAGAGCCATGAGCTGTACTTGGTACTCAGGCAGGAACAATATAAATACATGTGCACAAAAAATGAGTGGATTTAGCCAGGGTGCTAACAGAGCAGTACCTAGCCAAGCTAGCTCCAGAAAGCATTTCCTTACATGTTTGAAACGTCGGCCGTGTTGGCTTCGAGGTAAATGAAATTTGATTGGCGATGGATGACAGTTAAAACTTCAGGGCCCCTTGGTTTTACCTTCAAAAACAGACCTGGAAGACGCTGATAAACAAACTGACTGCTAAGAAGGCTGATTCTAAGCTTTGCCCTCTTTAGACTGACTTCTAGTTTGTTTGTATTAGGTGAATCTGACTTTTGATCTGTGTAATATGTTGAAATCACTGGGTAACTGTAAGCAGAAGCTTTTTAGATGAAAAAAGAATTTGTATCCAAAGGCTAATTTAGTTAATGATAAATTGTCCAGGCAGAGTTTTTAATGCTTGTATTTTTTGTCTAGTGACGTTGAATCTATCTGTACCCAACATGTTGACTGACAACATAATCATAAGCTGTGCTCACTTATTTCAAGTCATTTATATTATTTACATGAGCCTAAATTAGACTGCACTCAAAATAAATTGACATTTCATTTAAATGTTTTACTGTGTTGTTTGGTTTATTCTTTTTACATTTTAATGACGTGTATAACCTTAATATTTATTTATTTTCATTTTAGTTGGTATATTCTTTAAAAACTAGTTATTTCAATGGTTGGAGAATATATTTCAAGTTTCAGATAGGACCAAAACTGAAATAAGGAGTTTATTGTCCTCAATAATACAATTTTAATCTTAGTGTTAATATCAGAAGTAGCATTGAAACATGTTCCAAACTTTTCAAAAATAGAAATGCAGAAGTAGATACAGTTATGACGGGAACTGCCCAAGACATGACCAAAGAAATATGAGTGGCCATAATGTTCACCGGGATTTCACAAACGGGAAAGAGACGCATAGAACAAATTGACCATAAACATCATCACATGCACATAAAACATTGTATAGCTCTGTGTGAGTGTGGGTGAAATAACTGATGATGTGTGTGTGAAGTGTTATTTTTAAACATTGTCTTCTGCTGCTGTTTATGGGAACCAACATGCAAAAACACCTCGAACAGATACTGTATTAAAAAAAAAACAAAAAGCATTCTTTTAACATGCTCAAGATATCAGTGACATTTTTAGTATTTCCATTTATTTAGTTTATTTTGAACTGATCACTCTTTGAAACTTATTTTAGGGGTGACCTAACTCCACATACATTTTGATAAAATACTGGTTGTCTGTTGAGACAAAATTTGACAATAATAAATGATTGATATTTATTTCTGCAGCCTGTGAAGCTGCAGGTAGCAAATTAGTTAATATACAGTAGCCGAACTCTCCTTGCAAGAGTAGAAACAAAAGCAAAGTCTGGTCACTTGAGAGCCATCTTGGTATCCTGGGTTTTGACCATTATGCTCCTATCTCATATCTCTATAAATCTCATATCTCTGTAAATGCATATATAAATCTCTCGCTTACACATTTTAATTATACATTTGGTAACACTGGAGAATTGCATACTGTAGAACCACAAACTCTAAATCTGGGCCCCCTGAACAACTTTAACTGGTGTGAGGATTAGGGTGCATTGATTGTTCACCTGCCTATGCTGACAGCTTTACTACTCATCATTTCCATCTAAACTACAATGACGTATCACCTTGTGTATTAATAAAGATGAGTGAAATTAAGCCATATAACATACAACATGATATATATTCAAAATACACTGAAATATATTTAAGGAAATAATCAGGAAAGTAGTGTATCTAGAACGGAGCCTTGTGGCACGCCATATTTATTGTTTGTTCTTTGTAGTGACACAAATAACAAAACTGGCTTAAATGTCACAGAATCTGAGTGGGGAAATTCTTTGTAATTACAATAAGTGATATGTCATTTCCTGTTGGTGCTTCTAGGTCAATGTGGGTAAAGGCAGCCACCCCGACATGGTGAAGGTGTTTGGCCCTGGAGTGGAGAGGACCGGACTGAAGGCCAACGAGCCCACACACTTCACCGTGGACTGTTCTGGAGCTGGAGACGGTAACACACTCACATGTTTATACACCTATCTTTGTGACACTCAGTGACATAATGTATTCCCAAGCCATTAACCCTAACCTTTAGCTATCACAACTAAATGCGTAACCCCAACCCTTAGCGCTAACACTAAACCTAAGTCTAACCTGATCCTAAATCAACCTCGGTCCAATGGTATAAAACTCAAACTGTTCTTCACAATGTATTTTCTAGTCATACAACAACAGACATGGATACACACAATGAGGTGGCTGTGCTAAGGAGGTAAAGCGGGCCATTTCTAGGGATGGGACAATATATCGAAATTCAATATATCATGATACAAAAACATTGTTTTGTCTAGCGATTATATATCGTGGGGTCGCCATACACCAGCAATTTCATATTTTTGAGATAAGCCTAACAGAATGTAAGTAAATATGTCTGGTTGTTCTTTATATAATCACCCAGTGCTAGAAAAGGATAAAAAAGAGGAATAAAGTACAAGTATTCGGTAGCTAGTCAGACATTGTTGTCACTGAATTTTAACTGTATCATGATTGAATAGAATTGTACACACGTCATATCAATAAAAAGTCACGTCATCCCATTCCTAGTCGCTTCCTAGCTGGAGGGTTAATGGTTTGATTCCCAGCTTCTCCAGTCCAATCATGTTCAAGTGACACTGAACCCCAAGTTGCTGCCAGTGGCTGTCCATTGGTGTGTGTTTGTGAGCGTGAATGTGTGAAAATCCCTTTGTGTGCTTCAGTGCATAGAAAAGTAAAAGTTCATTTCCCATTTGATTTACCAATGATAGTTAAGACAGAAAATCCCCAGAGGCTGTTTAATTTGGTGTGACAGCAGCTCCTGTCTGTGTTAGAACAACACACTGAATATAAAGTGTACACACTCTGCCATGTACAACACCTATATAATGTCTGTGAATGATTTCAGCAAGCACGCACACCTTCCCTGGTATGTCCTGGCAATGATCTCAAGGCAGAAACATCCTGACAGGAAGTTCATCACACACAGTTAATCATGGACCTGCACAAAAATACATCTTACAGTAACACATTTTATTTTTATGATGATATCAATCAAGGCTGGAATCTGTAAATAACTATTAGCTGAACTTTAGACTATTTTGGTTTGTGGTTTTGAGTGAAATGTCTCAACAACTATCAGATGGATTGGACATTAAATTTTGTACTTGCATCAATGTCCAGCTCAGGATGATTTGTAGTTACTTTGATATTCTTCTGACTTTTCATTTAATGCCATGACCAGATCAAAGCTTTACCCACTACTTTGTTTTACTACCACCTGCCTGCCCAACTGGAATTGATATATCCAGTCACCTTGGTGCACTTCCCAGTAAGAATCTGGCCTGGTCCTGTTGTCTGTTTATTGCCTCATTCCTCTGCTGTGTTTGACAACTCTGTTCTTCTGCATGGCCTGTTCATTGTGCATATCAGAGCCAATTTCAGTGTAACATCCTAGTTTAGTGTTTCTGACGTGAGCAGATGAAGTGAACGACCAGCAGAAAACAAACAATCTAGCACCCCCTTGTGTTTTTACACCAACACCAACATGGGTCTAGTTCCTCAGAGAGCTTGTCGTCTCAGTAGCAAGTGAAAGAATTAGTATCATATACCTTCTGTCCAAGATATGGTACATCTGCTTTGTCATCAGTTTGTGTGTGTTCATTCAGGTGACGTCAGCGTGGGCATCAAGCGTGACGCCAGTATGGTCGGTGACAGAGAGGTTGACGTAGATTTTGACATCATCCCCAACGCCAACGACACATTCACCGTCAAATACGTCCCTCCTGCTGCTGGAAGACTCACTGTTAAAGTCCTGTTCACTGACAAGGTACACACACACACACACACACACACGATCTGCTGAAAAGTTTCTAGGTCTTTTCTTCGGGCATTGATTGATTTGTTTTTTGGTGAATTTCAATGTGCTTTTACACAGGAAGTTCCACAGAGCCCCTTCAGTGTCAAAGTCGATCCCTCCCATGATGCATCAAAGGTTAAAGCAGAGGGTCCTGGACTGTCACGCACTGGTGAGACACACAAACACACATACTCGCATGCACTGACAACCAAGATGGCTCAGTGATCCTGACTGTCCCTCCTTCATCCTGTGCAGGTGTAGAGAGCGGTAAGCCGACTCATTTCACAGTGTTGACTAAAGGAGCCGGGAAAGCACCGCTGGATGTTTCCTTCTCAACTCCTGTCAAAGACTTCGACATCATCGACAACTATGACTATTCTCAGACAGTCAAATACACGCCTGTACAACAGGTATGTCAAATACGTGTCTGTGCAACAGGTACAGTACGCCAAACAAATGCGTACTAAGTACCTGTACACCAAATAAATAGTTCATCAGGTTGTACAATTGATTTGTCAAACATGCACCTGTTCAAATACACACCTTCACAGTAAGCAGTTCAAATGGTACATCACATGCACACCTGTGCAGCAGACTTGTTTGTGGCTTTATCACCTCAGAATGAATATAAATAAGTTTTTGTGAGCAAATTCTCCACAGCCATAATGACAAATCAACAAAAACAGAAAAGCAAACACTTGACTGTTTGTTTTTCCTCCAGGTTTTGCTCATCAGTCGTGTTTGTACCAAAACAGTAAACACAGTGAACGCTGTGCGCAGGCAGCAGCGCCTCACCTGCCTGCAGTCATTTTAAACAGCTGGTGCATTGCCTTCTGTCTTCTTACCAAGTACTTCAAAGATGGAGTACTTGTTGATCTAAACACTACAATGTGTCTTCAGGGGGAGATGAACGTCTCGGTGAAGTATGGAGGAGATCCCATCACTAAGAGCCCATTCACGGTCGGAGTCGCTGCTCCGCTGGATGTGAGCAAGGTCACTGTGAACAACCTGGATGGAAGTAAGAAATCAGTCTTTCTGTGCAACTGTAATGTGACTGATTAGTGAGCCTTTATCAGTGAATACATTTCTGGGACCCATTCAGCAGAAAAAATGAAGTTCTGTTCATCTTTTGTAGAATTAGTATGTGCTATTGATCGAGGGTTTCTGGGACTTTGTAACATATCCTTTATGCGTTATTGTTTCAGGAGTGGAGGTCGCTCAGGAACAGAAGTTTATGGTTGACACCAAGGGTGCAGGAGGTCAGGGTAACCTGGAGGTGGCGGTGGTGAGTGTCAGATACCTGTTAGTAGGATCCATTTATTGTAGGGTTTGATCTATTCATAGGTTGCCAGGTGGCACAATGACAAATACCATCACACCAGACTTGTACTTCAGCATGTCAAGTTCCTCTCTGTTCTCTTGTTTACAGCTGAGTCCCAGTCACCGGGCGGTACCATGCAAAGTGGAGCCCCAGTCCAGTAAAGCACATGTCAGTCTGGTCCGTTACACTCCCACAGAGGAGGGGGTCCACGCGGTCAACGTGTCTTACGACGGACACCCTGTCCCTGGCAGTCCCTTCTCTGTGGAGGCCCAGCTGCCTCCAGACCCCAGCAAGGTCAGCGTCTGATCCTTCATGATGATAAAGAGTATTTTGTTAATGTTTCACACACAATTTTTATTTATTTCTGTGCACAGATGTTCAACAGATACATGCACTAAATATCCTGTGTGACAGTGATTCATGAAGACTAGCATGCAAATAGAAAATACACAAATAGTAAATTTTATTTGCACTCTACTTCAATGAAACAGAAAAGGAAAAAATAAAAACTTTTATCAGACACAAGAATGAACGTACATGTAATTTTATTTACTTTTTATTTTTTTTGCTTTTCTTTGATGAAAAAGAGCATATTTTATTATTGTGTATTTGTTTGTTGTATGAAATAAAGCATGCCAGTGAAACTCACCTGGGCATTGCGTGACTGAAAAGACCATAAAAAGAATGTGAAAATAAAAATTGAAAGTACAATCAAAGCAATGGCATGGCATCATGATTGTCCCTTCTTGCTCCCCCTCCAGGTGAAGGCGTTCGGTCCTGGTCTGAAGGGAGGCCTGGTGGGGAGTCCAGCAGAGTTCACCATTGACACCAAGGGTGCTGGCACCGGAGGTCTAGGCCTGACGGTGGAGGGTCCAACCGAGGCCAAGATCGAGTGTTCGGACAACGGCGACGGGACCTGCTCTGTCTCCTACCTGCCCACCGAGCCCGGAGACTACCTGGTTAACATCCTGTTTGAGGAGGTCCACATCCCGGGTTCGCCATTTAGAGCCGACGTCCAGATGCCCTTTGACCCCTCTAAGGTGGTGGCGACAGGGGCAGGCCTGAAGAGAGCCAAGGTCAGGGACAAGCTGCAGTCAAAGAATCCTAATGCTTTAAACATTCAGCAGATTTAATCAGTTCAGTGTCAGGTTTTGGTGATTATGGAGAAACTGCAGAAAGGGTTCTGAGTTTGCTCAGATTTGAGTCTCTAACTCAGAGGCTCATGGGTATCAGAGTATTTAAAACCGCCCACTGAACTGAACTGGCATAAAAAACCCACATGATTCCTCAGAAATAAACTGATGCTCAGAAAAAAAAGCTTATGGCAAAGGTTAAATTATCCAGGAGGCTCTGGTGTTTCTTGACAAATATTCAGGTGATCATTAAGTATGTTTACATCACCTGCATTTCCAAGTTGTGCATCAAAAACAGGAATCACTGGGAATTTGAAAGATCTTAAAAGAGGTTTTACACTTGGTTGAGATGGAAAAAGCAAATTGTCTGAAACTTGACCACTGAAAGAAAAATTTTGAAATGGAAATTTTCAGTGTAATTACCTCTGACCCATTTGTCTCAGTTTTGATTTCCAAAACTGACCAATCCTAAGACATCTCACCAGCTTAAATGAGGAGATGCCCATTTTAAAATAAAGGATGAAGTGTGATCCGGCTTGTTGTGACTGTGCAGGTTGGAGAGCCCAGTGTGGTCAGTGTGGACTGTTCTCGAGCCGGACCAGGACTACTCAGCCTGGAGGCCATACCAGATGCCTCCCCGACCAGCCCTACTGGGTCTGCACCAGGCTCAGGTAACTGTCAGCTTTATTTCTTGTTTTAGTTCATTAACTACAAATTACATGCTACAGTACAATAACATAAATACCACTTTTATTGTTGGGATCCAAGTTTTTACAAAGTACTGTGTGTTTCTACTGAAAACGTCTTCATTTCCTAAACTGTGAAGCTGGACGTGTTGTTCCAGGTGTTAAAGCTAAGACGGAGGTGGTTGACAACAAAGATGGCACCTACACAGCGACATACATCCCCCTGAGCTCTGGCGTACACACCCTGCAGATGAAGTATGGAGGAAAGGCTGTCCCCGGTTTCCCCGCCAAGGTGGTGGCGGATCCTGCTGTCGACACCTCCGAGGTCAAAGTGTTCGGACCCGGAGTGGAAGGACAAGGTGCAGTATGGCCCACCTGGGTCAGTGTGTAGCTGTTTGGTTTGAGAAAAGGTGGCGTGGTGAACACGAATGACCTGCTTTATTCTGAACATAACATTTTAACATTGTTTAAGGGGTGTCAAAGGTTAACACAACATTGTTTAACAGGTAAAATCCAAATTATATCCACATATAATAAAATAATTTAAAAAATAAATACAAAATCAAAGCAGCTTATTTAAATGATATTTTTGTATTCCACACAGTGGTGTACTGTTCTGTATGCTGCTGCCCAGCTGTTAAAACATAAAATGTATGTGATAGCCAACAATATTAAAATAAATAAGTATTTCTAAACACCTCAGTACCACAATACATGGTGCTAGCCTGCTGCTAACATACATCTTTAACTGAGAGGAGGAGACATGACCTGTAACTCCTGTTCCTGCTACCACAGTATGTTTTACATCCATCTTTTAGGAAATTTTCATGTATTTTACTGTAGCTTTAGTTCACTTAAGTACTCTTACCTTAAACCTGTGATGTTCACTGACACATCCACACCTTCTAAGTCAAGTTGGAAAACTTGTTGACAAACAGTTGCTTTGTATTTCCACATCCAGTAATTATGGAGCAACATTATCATACATCTGGAGTCATGTCTCTGCCCCGATGGACAAAAGTCCAATAAACTATAAGCTGAAATTCTTTATGAAACTCTGTAAATCCAAGGGGAGCTGCAGATTTGGGTGGTAATTTTCTTTAGGTTCATCACTTAAAATTGTGAGCAACAGATAATAGAAGAATGGTTCAAATCTGTACAGCAGAGGCCAGGACGTCCTGACTCCACAAACACTGGATCCTATGTGATGCATCTCGATGCCTGTTCCACCTTCCCTGATGAGTACTGTACCTGCCCCACAGCTTTGAAACTTGAAGCCCCTGATTTTCAATGCAGAGTTTCTACTGTAATTTGTAAACATTCAGCATTTTCCTCCCTCCTCCAGCTGTTTTTAGAGAAGCCACCACTGAGTTCACAGTAGACGCCCGTCCTCTGACCCGGCGAGGAGGGGACCATGTGAAGGCAGAGGTCAGGAACCCGTCTGGAGCGATGACAGACTGCGTGGTTACTGACAAGGCTGATGGGACCTACAATGTTGAGTACACTCCTTTTGAGAAAGGTAACACACCTTTGAAACACGACTCAAAGTTATGATAAACATTTTAGTGTCCTCTCCAAACTATGTTGTCAGCTTCACTGGCTGATCTGTGTCTGTTTATTTCAGGTGTCCACAGTGTCCAGGTTCTGTATGATGACACCCCAGTTCCTAAGAGCCCATTCAGGGTTTCTGTGTCAGAGGGATGTGACCCCAGCAGGGTGGTGGCTGCAGGCCCTGGGCTCCAACAGGCCCTGACCAACAAGCCCAACAACTTCAACATCACAACCAGGTACAAAAAAGGACAGACAGTTTGGAGCAGGGA